CATCGTCGTCATCGGCATCAGCATCACCATCATTATCATCGTCATCATCAGCATCATCCCCTTCCTCCTGATCGTTATCATCATCAGCCTCATCAGCATCATAATCATCATCATCGTCATCATCGTCAGCATCATCATCATCCTCATCCTCATGTTCAGCCTCCTCCTCTTCCTCATCATCATCACCATCAGCATCATCGTTTCCATCACCATCAGCATCACCGTCATCGTCATCATCACCATCCTCATCCCAATCCTCATCTTCCTCACCATCAGCATCAGCATTCCCATCATCCTCATCACATCCTCATCCTCATCCTCATCCTCAGCCGCATCCTCATGACCACCACCATCAGCATCAGCATCATCATTACCATCTGCATCATCCTCATCCTCATCGGCATCGGCATGATGATCCGTATCCGCATCATCATCATTATCATCATCATCATCATCATCATCATTATCCTCCTCATCATCCTCCTCCCCATCATCCTCATCCGCATCATCACCATCCACATCATCATCACGATCATCATCCTCATCATCATCCTCATCCTCATTCTCATCCTCCTCCACTCATCACCATCAGCATCCTCATCCTCATCATCCTCCACCTCATCATCTTCATCGCCATCCTCATCCTCAAACCCCTCCTCATCACCATCATCAGCATCAGCATCATCATCAACATCTTTAGCATCCTCATCATGATCATTGTCCTCGTCATCATCATCCACTTCCTCATCCTCAACTACATCCTCCTCATCATCCTCATCCTCATCCTCCTCATCCTCATCCTTGTCCTCATCCTCCTCATCCTCATCCTCCTCATCCTCATCCTCATCATCACCATCATCATCATCATCATCATCATACTCATCATCATCAGCATCCTCCTCCTCTTCCTCATCCGCGTCCTCATGTTTATTCTCACCTTTATCCCCCTCCGCCACATCATCATCAGCAACAACATTATCATCATCACCATCATCATCATCATCATCATCATCAGCATCCTCATCCGTATCCTCATCAGCCTAATCATCCTCATCCTCATCCTCATCCTCATCCTACTCATCCATCTTCTCATCATTATCAGCAGCATCCGCATCATCATCCTCATCATCATCAAACTTGTCCTCATCCTCCTCCTCATCCTCCTCCGACTGCTCCTCAGCAACATCAGCATCATCAGCATCATCCTCATCGTCCTCATGCTCATCCTCATCCTCCTCCTCCTCCTCATCATCATCCCCCTAATCATCGTCCTCATCCTCATCCTCACCCACATCCTCATCATCATCCTGGTCCTCCTCCTCATCATCCTCCTCCGCCTCCTCCTCCTCATCAGCATCAGCACCATCATCATCATCATCATCATCATCATCAACATCATCATCCTCATCCTCATCCTCATCATCATCCTGGTCCTCATCCTCATGCTCATCCTCATCCTCCTCCTCCTCATCATCATCACCATCTTCATCATCAGCAGCATCATCCTCCTCATCCTCATCCTCATCACGTCATCATCATCAGCATCGTCATCAGAATCGTCATCATCATCAGCAGCATCCGCATCCTGATCCTCAGCATCATCCTCATCAGCAACATCAGCATCATCATCATAATCCTCAAACTCCTCATCCTCATCCTCCTCAGCATCATCATCAGCATCAGCATCGTCAGCATCAGCAGCATCCTCATCCTCATCCTGATCCTCATCCTGATCCTCATACTCATCATCATCGTCATCACCATCATCATCATCCTCCTCCTCCTCCTCCTCATCATCATCATCATCTGCAGCAGCATTACCATCATCAGCAGCATCCTCATCATCATCAGCATCCTCCTCATCCTCCTCATCCTCAGTATCATCCTCATCCTCATCATCATCACCATCAGCATCATCCTCATCCTCATCCTCAGGATCATTATCGTCCTCCTCCTCCTCATCATCCTCATCCTCCGTCTCATCATCATCAGCATTATCATCACCATCATCAGCAGCATCATCCTCATCCTCCTCCGCCTCCTCATCATCATCCTCACGCTCATCCGTATCCTCATCCTCCTCATCACCATCACCAGTATCATCATCATCCTCATCATCATCCTCGTCCTCATCATCATCATCATCATCAGCATCAGCATCATACTCATACTCATCATCAACATCATCAGCATTAGCACCATCCTCATCATGAGCATCAGTATCAGCATCAACGTCCTCATCCTCATCCTCATCACCATCATCCTCATCCGCATCCTTATTATCGTCCTCATGCTCATCCTCATCCTTATCCTCATCCTCACCACCTTTATGACCATCATGCTCGTCATCATCAGCAAGACCATCATCATCATCATCATCATCATCAGCAGCATCATAATAATCGTTCTCATCCTCATCCTCCTCCTCATCCTTATCCTCCTCCTGATCAGCACCATCTTCAGCAGCATCATCATCATCGTCCTCATCCGCATCAGCAGCATCATCAGCATCAGCATCCGCATTATCATCATCATCACCATCAAGCTCACCCTCATCCCCATCAACATCCTCAGCATCACCATCATAATCATGGTCACCATCCTCATCCTCATCCTCATCCTCATCAGCAACATCAGCATCATCAGCATTATGCGCATCACCATCATGTTCATCCTCATCACCAACATCAGCATCATCCTTATGATCATCCTCATCATCCTCACCCTCATCCTCATCCTTATCCTCCTCCCACTCCTCATCATCATCTTCAGCAGCAGAACCATCATCATCAGTATCATCATCAGCATCCTCATCCTCATCCTCGTCCTCACCCTCATCATCCTCATCCTCCTCCTCATCAACATCATCACCATCACCATCAGCACCCTCAGCATCAGCATCTTCATCATCATCAGCATCATCCTCATCCTCGTCCTCCTCCTCCTCATCATCAGCAGCAGTAGCATCATCATCATCCTCATCATCATCAGCAGCATCATCCTCGTGTTCATCCCAATCATCATCCTCATCATCATAATCCTCCTCATCATCATCATCAGCAGCAGCATCAGCATCACCATCACCATCACCATCACCATCATCATCATCATCATCATCATCACCACCATCATCATCATCATTAGCATGAGCATTCTCATCCTCATCCTGATCTTCATCCGCATCCTCATCCTTATCCCCCTCATCAGCATCATCATCAGCATCCTCCCCATCATCAGCATCATCCTCATCCTCATCGTCATCATCATCAGCATCATCCTCATCCGCATCATCATCAGCATCATCCTCATCCTCACCATCCTCGTCCTCTTCCTCATCCTCGTCCTCATCATCGTCATCATCATCATCAGCAGCATCAGCATCATCAGTATCATCATCAGCATCAGCATCATCCTCATCCTCATCTCCATCCTCATCCCTACGCTCATCCTCATCCTCCTCCTCATCAGCATCATCATCATCCTCATCCTCCTCCGCATCATCATCCTCATCAGCATCATCATAAGGATCATCAGCATCATCCTCATCAGCATCAGCATCATCAGCATCATCAGCATCGTCATCATCATCATCATCATCATCATCATCATCCTCATCATCATCAACATCATTTTCCTCATCATAATCCTCATGCTCATCCTCATGCTCATCCTCTTCCTCCTCCTCCGCACCAGCATCATCACCATCAGCATCATCATCATCATGACCATGATTATGATCATCATGATCATGATCATCATCATCATCATCACCATCATCATCACCATCATCACCATCATCATCATCATCATCATCATCATCCTCATTATCATCCTCATCCTCCTCCTCATCCTCATCCTCCTCATCAGCAGCATCATCATCACCATCCTCATCATCATTCTCATCCTAATCATCATCATCATCATCATCATCATCGTCATCATCATCATCATCATCATCATCTTCATCCTCCTCCTCATCATCATAATCAGCATCATCATTACCATTACCATCATCATCATCATCATCATCATCATCATCAGCATCAGCATCAGCATCATCCTCATCCTCATCACCATCCTCATTATCATCCTCAAACTCACGCTCATCCTCATCCTCCTCCTCATCCTCATCACCATCATCATCATTATCAGCATCCTCATCCTCATCTGCATCCTCCTCCTCATCATCAGGAGCATCATCATCATCATTCTCATCAGCATCATCATCAGCATCCTCATCCTCATCCTCATCCTCATCATCCTGTTTCTCGTGGTCCTGCCTCTGGGTGCTCCTCCTCGCCCAGGCCAACGGACGGCCGCCAGAAAAACAGAGACCCTGAGGCAGGGCCCATAAAGAAACCGCAGGGCGCGGACGCACGAAGCAGAAGGCACCACCCGAGGAGGCCTCGAGGCACAACTTCCTCCTCCTCCTCCTCCTTCTCGTCTTCCTTGCCCTCCTTCTCCTCCTCATCCTCATCCTTCTCCTCTCCCTCCTCCTCCTCATCATCCTCGTCATCAGCAGCATCAACATCAGCGTCATTATCAAAACCATCATCATCATCATCATCATCATCATCATCCTCATCATCCTCATCATCCTCATCCTCATCCTCATCCTCATCATCATCATCATCAGCATCATCAGCCATCAGCATCATCATCACCATCACCATCACCATCACCATCATCATCATCAGCAGCATCAGCATCAGCATCGTCACATCATCATCACCATCATTATTATTGTTATTAATACTATTACTATTATCATTACTATTATTATTGTTGGTTATTCTTGTTACTATGATTAGTATCATCAACATCATCCGAGGAGGCCTCGAGGCACAGCCTTTGGTCGTGATTGTTCTTCCTCCTCCTCTTTCTTCGACCACCACTCCACGACGGCGCCCCCAGGAGACGACGACGCCCCCAGAAGACGACGACGCCCCCAGAAGAAGAAGACGACGACGACGACCCCCTCAAGTTGAGCACCAAGTCGCCGCGACGGTGGACCTCGCCCCCGCCACAAGGCTCGCCTTCGCCTGCCTCACCGCCTCTCGGGCAGCGCCAAGCAGGGGCACCACCATCGGACACATCGGGGTCGCCAGCCCCCCCGGAGGACTGAGGGCCTGGTCGGACGACATGGGGGTGTCAGTAGAGAGGAGGGCAGCGAATCCTGGCGGCGCGCACAAGGGGGTGGGGGAAGGGGGAAAGGCTTCTTAGCAGGAGGCTGCTTCTTAGAAGGCGCCGGCCCCACATCTGTAGAAAAGGCCCCCGCCTTCTCAGAAGCTCGGGGTGCTTCGACGAAGCCTTCCCCCCCTCCCCCGAAACCCCCCTCTGCGCGCCACGAATCAGCTCACGCGGCTCCCTTTCTCACCGCCGGCGGCGCCACCGCATCGAGGAGCGTGCCCGGCGGCGGGCGGGGCCGAAGCCAGCGGCACGCAGGAGAGTTCGCACCCCCCTCCTTGCCCGATCCCCCCCCCCGCTTGCGTCCGACCCGGGGAGGCCGGAGAGCCTCCCAGAGCGATCCTGGGCGTCTTGGGGGGAGTCCTGGGCGGCTTGTGTGAAGCCTGGGGAGGGTCCCCCTCCGAGGCGGCGACGAGCTTCCCCCTGGTGGTGTCTGGGCGGCGCGCCCGGGGGGGAATCCCCAGAGAGGGCGGGCCTTCCCAGAAGACTCCGAGGGTCCCCAGCCTCCTGAGGAGCCCTCAGAGCCCTTTTCCGAAGCCACGGAGGACTCCTCGGAAGGCTGGGGGGCTCCTGAGCGCAGAAGGCCCGCCTCGCTGCATTCCCCGTGCAAGTGGCACGCAACACTATGCTGCTGCTACTCCGTGTGTCCAATGCATGTGGTAACAGGTCCCTCGTGCGCCGTGTACCGGGCACACTGCGTACGCAGTGGGAGTCTGCTGCTCCGTGCGCACCTCCTCTCACTCCCCCCCCAGCGCGCCGCCGAGTGACCCCCCGTCGTCAAAGGCTTAACGACGTCTGCCGTCCTTCGAGTCGCGCTGGAGCGGCCGCGAATTGCTCCAACTAACCCTGGAGATCTCTGGATTTACCTCGATCTGCATTTATCGATCCCCACAAGTCGATTGGCGAAAAGTCGGCAAGCCCTCAGGGACCCGGCTCCCCTTCTGGCACTGCCCGGTCCTCGTGCGGATCGGCGGCCTCCGCCGGCTGCTTCGGAGCGGCGGCCGCTGGCTGCCGCGGAGGAGGCGGCGGGGGCGGCGGCGGCGGAGGCGGCGGCGGGGGCGGCGCCGGCGGCGGGGGCGGCGGGGGCGGCGCCGGCGGCGGGGTCGGCGGGTCGCCTGCAGGACCCAAATCAACGCGTCTGGGTGCAGTGCGGGGTCCTGCCTGGGGGAGCCGGCGTGCCTGGAGCCCAGGTCACTCTCCTCCTCCTCCTCTCCCCTCCTCCTCCTCCCTCCTCCTCCTCCTCCTCCTCCTCCTCCTCCTCCTCCTCCTCCTCCTCCCTCCTCCTCCCCCTCCTCCTCCTCCTCCTCCTCCTCCTCCTCCTCCTCCTCCTCCTCCTCCTCCTCCTTCGTCTTCTTCTTCTCCTTCTGCTTCTCCTCCTCCTCCTCCTCCGCCTCCTCTCCTCTTTCTGCTTCTCCTCCCTCCTCCTCCTCCTCCTCCTTCCTCCTCCTCCTCATCCTCCTCCTCCTCCTCCTCCTCCTCCTCTTCCTGTTCCTCCTCATCCTTCTCCTCTTCCTGATCCTCCTTGTATCGTTGCGCCCTCGCATCGCCTCCCTGGAGAAAGGTGCCTCTCCGCCACTCTCCAGCTTCAGCAGCGGTGCGCGACGCGCGCTGATTTCTCTTCACGCCCCCTCGGGGGGCCCTATTAGAGGGGAGCGAGGCCTCGTCGGAACGGGGTCCGCTTTGGTCGCTTGGCAGCCCCGGTTCCTCCCACCTGGCGGGCGGCGCACCAGAACCACTTTCTCAACCGCCAGGGAAGGGGCTGCCCAAGTTCCCTCACCGGCTTGGCCCAGCACCCGCGCTGCGCGCCGTCTCAGGGGCTCCGGTCGGCGGATGACGCTTGGGTCGAGGCTCGACGACGTCTCGGGAGACGCCAAGGTGAGCAAGCTTGGTCCGAAGATCGACGACGCCTCGGGAGACGCCAAGGTGTACGGCACGGTGCAGACGAGCGGATCGCAGAACGGTG